CACACACACACACACACACACACACACACACACACACACACACACACTGCACTGTATTCTAATACTTAACCATTGTGACATACTTCAAGTCCATTTACTCGACACCAGTCGTATGCTTTCACCAGCTTTCATGCAGTTTGTATGTGTAATATTATACATACACATACATAATAACACAAGAACAAGTACTAACTGACCTGCTGCCATATGATGTGCAGGTGATTGGTTCAGCACAATTTGTAATCTAGAGAGACTGTAGGCGAACGCGCCTTCCACCAAAGCCAGTGACCTGTCCACATTCAAATGTAATATTTTCTTTCTTTGGGACGGTTCCAACTCTGCACCAAATCTGATGAAGTCCAGTGTTTTGGCTTTAGAGAAAAACACTGAAAACACATCTTTATACGGGAATGTTTTCTGTAAAACGATCAGTAAAAAAAAAAAGAAAGTTATTTCTATTCTTATTATTATTATCATTCAAATTTTCAAGTGGACAGATTCTGCATTTTTCTGTCATGTGTATAAACTCTTACAGCGGTGAGTGGATGATCATATTAAACATGATCACATATAGTCAGATATGAGTAATCCCTGTAAACTGAAAGTTCAGGACTGTTCTTGAATCTGTATGATGCCAGTGAGAGCGGAGCTCCTAAAATACAATCAATTCAGTTACAAACTGTGGTTAAGAAGCCTTTGCGAGGGGCAGCCAATCAGGAGAAAGCGCACTTAACAGGAGGGGGAAGGGAGTTAAAATAGTTTGTTTCAGACAGACTTATTTATCGTATACTGGCTGCTTGAGATGAATAAAGATTGAGAACTGAGAATCATACAAAGTTAAACCATGAAAGCTGAAAAACAGCATAAATACAGGACTCAAAGTATCAGTATTCCACACCTGCACTAATACAGCATCTGCATGTGGCTCCATCCTAGTCTGCAGCGAGAAAACTAGCAAAAGTGTTGCTGAGCTCTGTGAGCGAGGACAGCTACTGGCCCCCGCTGGGCCCCCCACCCTCAGCCTGGCTTCACAGAGAAGGAGCCGCCGCCTCCAAAGACGCCATCTACCCCACTGTTAAACCACCACATCGCTACAGCACAGAATGGTTTGTACACTCTCTGTTTTTTTTGTTTTCATTTCAGTATTTTTGGTTTTCTGTTTCAGTCTGCTCTAGTCTAATCGTGCTAAATGCAATTACTTGAGTCATGCTAAGTATTTAGCTTATAAAGCTATACATGACTGCTATGATGGTGTTAGTTACTTCACCGTATCAGCTGACAATAGTGGACAAAGATTATCTCACTAAGGAGTGTCGCTTTAGTACTTTGAGCCCACGAGTATCTCTTTTGTCTAAATTACCCTCCTGTTAAGACCTTGGTGCTTACTGCAGTTTGACCCGAGTGTTGACCTGCTGCATGACAACCTACATTAACTCCCATGTCCACTGACTTAGCAACACTAAGATGAATTTCCCTTCCATCCATTTTCTTAACCACTGATCCAATTTCAGGATCTGGGAGGGCTGGAGTCTATCCCAGCTGTCATTTGGAGGGAGGTGGGGTACATGCTGGGCTGGTTGCCAGTCTATTAGAGACAAATGTGAAACAAGAAAATAGTTTTTTGGTTGGACACCATTAAGATGGCCCCCAAAAAACAATATTGTTCTTAATAATGTGATGCCTGTGATGGGATTTTGCTATTTTTGTCTCTTCTGTAAACACAACATGTCCATCAGTCATGGGTTCCCTCCTTTGTTACTTTCCCAGAGGCTGCTCTATTTTCTCTTTTCTGGGGCTGGGAGGGACGGTCTATATTCTTTATAGATTGTGAGATAAATTTGCTTTTTTTGTTTCCTAACAAAATTAACCTGATTTGTAACAAAACATAAGCATCGGAGTTAAAGAAGAACTATTACTTGTCAATAGTTTAGCTGAAGGTTGAACTTTTAAACAGGTTTTGTCTGGAGAAACAAAACAAATCACACGGTCTTTCAGGTCGTCTGTGACGTCTGAAGCTGATTCGGGTGGTTTTCACTGCGCCTGTGGTTCAGCTCTGTCCTGGAGAAACCACTAGAATGCCACTAGAGGTCATCACATCCCAGGCTTAATTAACACTGGCTGAAAACCTGCTTTAGAGGAGGTTAAAGGGCTCAGAGCGAAGCCAGACTTCAGTTCATTCATTAGTTCATTTCTGACACCAGAAAGCAGGCTGCTGTTTTATCTGTGCTATAGGGCGGTTCTTTGAACATAGTGCTTATATAACATAACATGTCAGCGTAGCGTAACGGCAGAAGGCAGAAGAAACCCTTGGCCAGCCCCGACAGGACAAACTGGTTATGTGCAACAGCACACAACAATGATCACCACATAGTTGTCTAGTTTCTGCCCTCTTTGCAAAGGAATCCTGCGCTTGTTGCTCGGGCCCTGCAAGCCATACTTAGTCACCGCAACATGACTAAGCTAGCCCACACTATCATAAGTGAAGATCTAAATCCATGTCTGAGATTTGAAGGAGGGAGGAGGAACAGGAGAAACAGGCTGTGCTTCGGCATTGTTCGTGGCTTTTGTTATCAGTTGCCTCCTGAAAAGGCCTCTGTGGTGTCTGGTAAACGTGTCCTTTAAAAGGACACGGAGTTGATGAGAGGGGCAAAGAAAGTGATGAATAGAAGGAAAAGTGTAAGACCCAAAGAGTGTGTGTTTGAGAGAGAGAGAGAGAGAGAGCGAGAGACATCTGAGATACTACTGTATAGTGATATATCCAGGGTGGTCTGTATTATGTTACAGCTCCACAGGTGAGACAGAAACGTGACACTCACACCAGTGTACTTCTGGATGTGTGTGTGTGTGAGTGAGAGAGGGATAAAATTCCCATTCTTGGTACTATTTCCTGCTTTCTGTGTCCTGGCAGTTGCTTCTGTCCTCAGGACGTGGTGGAGGAGGCCATTTTGCTGCTACTCATCTCAGAATCCATGGTGAGATGCTCTCTCACACACACACAAACCACAACACACACACACGCACACATTCGTTTTCATATATTTGTGGGGACACCTCATTCACATAATGCTAACCATCCAAAATGAAAGCCTAAACCTAACCGTGACCTAACTGTAACCCCGACACTAAAACCACATTTTGAGTCAAACTCGTGGGGACCGGGATTTTGTCCCCATTAGGGCTGCTGGTCCCCATAAGCTTGGTAAAATTCCAGTTTTGGTCCCCACAAAGATATGTAAACACGCACACACACATCCACCTTTCCTTGCTAAGTCTTCCTCGTCTTCCTCATCCCGCGTCTCTCTTTATCCAGGCCAGCGGTGACGCGGTGATCAGTCGTCTGCCGGATCAGGCTGAGGCTCGCAAGACCAGTCTGCAGGACGCCACCTCAGTCTATGACCTGCTCACCATCGGCATGGTCAGGAGGGGGCAGTACGCCATGCTCTCTGAGGTGTTCTGACACACGCACGCATGCAGACGCACACTATGCTGGAGGTCTAAGGGGAGGCGAGCAAAAGAGGGAGAGATGAGATGTGTTAGTGAGAGCTTTGCCTTTGCCAAACTTTTTAATGAATGTCCTTATCACTTGGAGCACAGGGATTATGTGTCTTTTTCTCTCACTGCCTCTCAGTCTTTTCTTCATCTCTCACCATCCCCCACACTGCCTGTTCTTTTCTAGTTCTTCTTCTGGCCTTGAATTCCTCCTCCATTTTCTCATTTTTTTGTTTAAACTGTCCCCCCCCAGTGTGACTTTCTACCCAGATGTGGGAAGTTTAAGAGGCGGAGGTTAGCGGGGTTGTCTCAAATTAGGTTTGTCCACAAGTCTCACTGATTCATATATAGCATATGGGAGACCACACACACTGAGGTAGTTCCACCTACACCAGTGGATCAATTTGCTGATGTATGAGGCCTGCATGGGCCATTTATTTAAAATCAGGTGTCAGCCAGTCAATACATTCCCTCTTTGACGTCATGAATAAGACTGATTGCATCCTTACTGTAGCATCAGTCAGTCCATGGTGTCTCTGTGGTAAGAAATCATGTTTTAATTTCATACCAGGAATTCATATTATTGTTATGCTTTCCCTTCATATTCAAGGAAAAGGAAAATAAGCAACCTATTCCAAAGACTTGTCTATCAAAGTAGTAATACTAAGGAATATAAACGTTATCTCTTATTCATATACTGTAAAGATTTTATCTTACCACTGATGCATTTAAAAAACATAAATCTCTAGAGCTAGTTTACTCTTGTACGCATTCCAGTTCAGTTCAATACCCTTCCTGTCAGTGGAAGTCAGAGTCAAAGGTCACGGTTCTCATTTTGTGCACAGAATGTTTGTCTGAAGCACAAACTGTCACAGTCCTGGGTCGTAACCCTGTGTTTTTTCATTTTCTTATATTTTGATATTCATTGTTTATGTGCTCATGTCTATTTTGCCTATGTTGCCTTGTTATAGTTATCATCAGATTCCCCTTGTGTCTTCATCCCCTGTGTTTAAGTCCCCTTCGCCCTTCGTGTGTTTCATGTCTGCGTGGCTCATGTTATCAAGTTCGTGTCATGTCTGTGTCCCATCATGTTTCCTGTTTTACTTTGAAAGTCTTGTTTATATGTTCATCGTGCTTAGTGCTACTTTTCCCTGTGGCGTCATGATGTTCATTTTTGTCAGCTGTTTCTCCATATGTTTCCACTTCCCCTGATTACCTCCTGTGTGTATTTAGTCTGTGTGTTTTCATTCTGTCTTTGCCAGGTCGTCTGTGTTACCTCCCTCACGTCTTCTCATAGTTCTTAGAGTTGAGTCACAGTTTTCATAGTTTTTCGTTTTCCCAGTTTACGTTCTAGTTTAGTTTCGCTACTGTCCTTGTTGCTTTGTTTTGCCTTCTTGTAATCAGCCATGATAAAGGCTTGTTTTCCGTTTGAAACTTAAGTCAAGCTCCGCCTCCCTTTGTATCTGCATTTGGGTCCACAATTCACAGCTCACACAGTCTGCTCCCGCAGATCGTGACAGTAACTTAGTAACCTGAGTTGAAAAGTTCCACTCTTTGCGTGTCTCCAAATGGTATTTCAGTCTTGAGCTGTGGAGGAGAGGAAAAAAGGCAAATGTTGTACTAAATAATTGGAAATAAAGTATCTGAATTTCAGAAGCGGGACCACGCCCCCAAACACGCTCCTTCCGGTTCTCATCTATATAGGTTCCCCCAGTTCTACAAGCTGTTCGATCTTGTTTACATGCCCCTCCCTCCCTCCCCTTTTAATTCTTTAACTTCTTCACTTATATTTAGTACACGAGGATCTGCCAGGCCCGGGAGCCGCGGCCAGTCCCCTTCAAGGCCTTCCCCAAACCGCAGCTCAATTCATGCCCAAGCCATTCACCTTTATCTACTAAAACGCTATCAAACCTCAAATGAAGACGTGGGCCCAGCAAGTGAAACTGAATGATATCCCTTTAATCTGTCAAGTATGTGCCGCAGCTCCATCTTAGTTTTATATAAGGTCTAACGTGTTTTTCCTGCTTACAGCACTGTTATGTCTCCTAATGTCCACTGTGAGTAGTAGCAGAAACACTTTCATTATAACATAAGCACCTGACTGAAAAACTTTAAAAGGACTATTGCTAATAAACTTAATTAAACTTTAGTAAATTTTATTTTTAAAATTTAAACTCTAGTAATTAATAATTCACACTAATCACTGGTGATGTCATAATTTATGTTTATTTATGTCAGTTTTTCAAACAGGAAATAATCATTTTATGAATTATACCCACTAGGATGGACTAGTGACCTGGGAGTACCCTACCCTCTCACCCAAAGTCAGCTGGGATAGGGTCCATCTCTCTAGTTAACAGGATGTCTGGATGGACAGATGGATAGATGTTTGGTCAGTCTCAGGGCTTCAAATGCTGCCCTTTAGTCGACACAGCTGGTTTCTCACCTGTAAGGTGTCTCTATGTGATAGTCAGCTTGTCAAATTTTACCTTAACCCACCCAAACATTGTCATTAACCCAGTCATGTAGTTTTGGCCTGATTATGAAACCAAACATGAACTGTAGTTTCCAGAATCAATGTTGTATAATTTAAACCTCCCACCCCCCACCTGCCTACTTGTGCACTCTTTAAAGGTACACCGTGTAAAATCTCACCGATAGAAGCTTGAAGACTGCAGTCAGCTGAATTCGGTTTTCTTACCCCTCCCAGTTCAAGTGCATTATTCTGGTGGTTGCTGTAATCCAAACAACTTTAGTCATCATTCATCTATAGTGAGTGTCTGTTGTTAGACCGCTGTTTATCCCACTTTTAAATATGACTGTCTGATGACAGCGATGCTAAAGAGAGTTACTGAGGATATCCTGAACTTTTCTGTCAGTAAGAGCTGCTGTTTTAGCCGCTGTTAGCTGCTGTTTTAGCCGCTGTTAGCTGCTGTTTTAGCCGCTGTTAGCTGCTGTTTTAGCCGCTGTTAGCCGCTGTTTTAGCTGCTGTTTTAGCTGTTGTTAGCCGCTGTTAGTGAAACTTTCTTTGAAGTTAATTGAACATTGTTGGACTCTTAGTGATGTTTAGTAAATAAACTCATATGATATGGGAATGTAATCAAGCGATTTTTAGGATACTCAAGCCTAATATTAGCCTGCATATTGTTAGCTTTTAACCAACTGTTGTTTCTTGTTTAGCCAGCCTGACAATATCTAGGAGTAACTGCAACGATATCGGGAATAAATAGTAATGTTTTTGCATGTTCCCTGACTTCAGGCATAAGGTGAATTTCATGTGGTGGGTTGAAGTGAGGAGGAAGAGGATGAAGTGGAAGTGGAGGAAGACATAATGAGAAAACGATGATGAAAACATAGCTGTGCATTTATTAGATGGTCATTATAGTTTAAAAGATTTAAAAGCTATTTGTGATATGTATAAGGTGTAGTTACGTAAGTGGTTGGAAGTTGCTGTTGGAAGACATAATTTCACACTAATGAATGAACACAATTTTATTTTTTTTCCGTTACATAATTCAGAAAATTACTTACTATATCCTTAAAACAAGTGGCATCCTTGCAAACATTGTTCATAGGTGGTTCTTGAACCAGTTTTTAGAAAAAGTTATCAATCAATAATATCTAATTAAATTAATTCCATCAATTTTCTTAAACACATATGTCTCATCTGACACGTCTATCACAGGGCTAATTGTCATTCCATTGTTTGTCAATAGTGCAAAACTGTAAGCATTTAGTCCAGTTGATACAACAGTTATATATGGTGCAGCTCAAAGTACTGTATAGTAGGAGACTTAACGCACTTGTATCTTTTAACCTCTGTTATTACAATTTGGCTGAAGCTTACTTCGAGCTCTATATATTAACCCTTCTAAACAGAGGTTAAGTAGGGATTTGTAATGGTTTGGGGCCTGATTTAGCTGGGTTAACAAGGGTCAGCAATACTGCCAGTAGCAGCAGAGACAGTTGCAGCTTCATATAGCTTCATAAAGACCTGCAGTGAACCATTACATTTCTTACACGCTTCAGTTCATGTTAGAAAATACAGAGCCCATTCACGACTACAATTAGCTACATATTCCACACTCTCTTATTCAATTAAATCCTACAGAGGTTGGTATTGTGTGCCTTTGCTCTATTCAGCATGGCATCTTTGTCTGCATGTTACTTTGTGTGCAACCTTTCTAATAAGTGCACATTTTTTAATCCTACTACTTGGCAGACCTTTTTTCTTGATGTAGCTCGCTTCTGCATGACTGACAACATCTGACTGAGCGGCGCTCCACGCCATCCTGTGCTTGTCCACACACACATCACTCACATCATTATGTACTGAAACAGCACAGAGTGGGTGGTGAGCGCTGACTGACAATCGATTTTGAGCGAGAGGAATGTGACTACGAACAGTGGCCATTCAGCTTTGTGACTGTAAAGGAAAACAAAAAGCTTAATGTCCACACCGAACCGTCCACTCTTATCGGCGCACTCTACTTGTACAAAGTTTCATAACTTAAACATGTTTGTGTATTTGTTTTTCTCCTCGCAGTGTCTGGAACGAGCCATGAAGTTTTCATTCAACGAGTTTCACCTGTGGCACCAGTTGGGCCTGTCACTCATGGCCGCCCGGAAAGTGAGCTCAATTCTCCGTTTAAATAAAACACCACATCACACCCAAAGGAGATAGCTATCTTCTATCTATTCTATCTATCTAGGTATTCATGGTAATGAAATGTAATCTTAAAAAGGCACATTTTTTAAATGGGAGTCCTCAGAATACCTCACAGTGCTCTTTCAGTCTCTAAGTGTCTGTGTCTGCGTGTGTGTGCGCACAGAGCCATGCGTGTGACAGAAAAATTGATGTGGATTGCATGATAAAGTGACTGCAGATCAATGGTGAGATCTAGAAATAGGCTGCTCCCTAGAAGGAGAGGGACCGCCTCAGTGTTGTCAGATCTGCTTCTATTTAGGGCCGGCGGGCGTGCACGCGCACATGTGCTCACGCATGTGCACGTGCACGTGGTCCATTAATGATTGACCTACATGTATTAAGTGACCGTGTGTCTAAATGGGTCTATTAGGGCTGTGTGAGGACAGTTAATGTATGTTTGATACAGTCGCTCAAAAGCGATCCATGTCATCTGTGGCTGAATGATAAGTGGCTGCTGTTTGCTCATTAATCACAATTTGTCATTGACATTTCCGTGTATGTGTGTGTGCGTTTCAGGGGGTTGGTGCTGTATCTGTATTTAAAGAGTGTGCCAGGATGAGACCAGAAGACCCTTCATTGCCCTTGTTGGCTGCTAAAGTCTGCATTGATCAGCTGCATTGGGTAATTACACACGTAACATCTACTTGCAAAAAAGGGGGAAAAACTTCAACTTAAATACTTTCAAATTATTTCTGGCTAATTTGGCTTTTTGCAGCT